TTAGAAGCACTTCACAGATCTCACCCACCCTTGAGGGGAGGGGAGCACACAAGGCAGTGGGCACCAGTAAGCAGGGGTCCTGGGTGGGGGGGCACCCTATGGGTCTGTCTTCCACATCCCTTTTTCCCTTTCTCCTCTTCTCCTTCCTTACCTTCCTTCTTCATTTCCTTTTCCAAGCCTAGCCTCAGACATAGGGCTTTGCCAGTAAACATGTTACAGTAATGATGTTAATAAGTGACATCACCATGTTCCAGGCACTAAGCTAGTTTTTTTTTTTAACTTTTTATTGAAGTATAATATACATACAGAAAACTGTAACATCCTAAGTGTAGAAATCAATAAATTCTTCAGAAACTGAACATGCTTATGTAACCGTCACACAGATCAAACAGGTGGATACGTTGCTAGCACCCTGAAGCCCTCCTCAGGCTTCCTTCTAGGCCTTAATACCCTCAATAGTGAACTTTTGTTTTCAATAGTGTCTCACTCTGTTGCCCAGGCTGGAATGCAGTGGTGTGATCATAGCCCACTGAAGCCTCCAACTCCTGGGCTCAAGTGATCCTCCCTTCTCAGCTTCCCAAGTAGCTAGGACTACAGGCATGTATTACCGTGCATGGCTATTTTTTTTTTTTTTTTTTTTTGTAGAAATGAAGTCTTGCTACATTGCCCAGGCTGATTTTGAACTCCTGGCCTTAAGCGATCCTCCCACCTCAGCTTCCCAAAGTGCTGGGATTACAAGTGTGAGCCACTGTGCCCAGCCAAAGGTGGATTTATAACAGTATAGATTAATTTAGCCTGTTTCTGTACAATTTATAAGCAGAATCCTACAACACGTATTATTTCATGTCTGGTTTCTTTGACTCAATGTAGTTTTGTTGCATGTGGTTTTCAGTTGTGCATTCTCATTGTTGAATAGCAGTCCATCATATGAAGGTACCACTATTTACTTTTCCATTCTCTGTGAATGGGTATTTTGGGGTAGCTTTCTGGTTGGAAGTACTACAAATGGTGCTGCCAGGAGCAGCCTAGGATGTGTCTTTTGGTGAACACAAGTAAGCATTTCTTACCTGGGAATGGGTGAGTGCTAGATCACACAGCGTGCATATTTTGGTGAGCTGTGTGTATGTATATACAATCCACACACCCCTCTGTGGGAGGCATCATCATCCCCTTTACACACAGCAGCCTTCTGGGTCAGACCTACACTTTCTCGATGGGTCCTGAAAGATCAGACAGGAGGGAAGGCCGAAAGTGTAGATTTCACCTACCTTTTTGCTGTTGACAACCTTCTTTACTTTGTTTTTCTTAAGAGACACATTGTCTTGAAGACTACTGCATACCAATCAAATGTCCTTTGCTTAGTCTCATGTAATTCCTCTTCTGATCATCTTTTTTTTTTTTTTTTTTTTTTTTTTGAGATGGAGTCTCACTCTGTCACTCAGGCTGGAATGCTGTGGCATGATCTCAGCTGACTACAACCTCCACCTCCCGGGTTCAAGTAATTCTCTGCCTCAGCCTCCTGAGTAGCTGGGATTATAGGCACGTGCCACCACACCCGGCTAATTTTTTTGTATTTTTGATAGAGATGAGGTTTCACCATGTTGACCAGGCTGGTCTTGAACTCCTGACCTTGTGATCCACCTGCCTCGGCCTCCCAAAGTGCTGGGCTTACAGGCGTGAGCCACCGAGTCTGACCATACCTTTCTTTTCTTAGCATATTTTTTTCATGTACTGAAAGTACTTTCAAAAATGTAACTTTTAAAGTTATTGTCTGATATTCTATCATGTGCAGTTACCGTGATTAATTTAACTAATTCTCTATTTTAGGACATTTAGGCTGTTTTCAGTATTTTGCCATTGCAAATAATACTGCATGAGTATCCTTCTAGCTAAATCCTTAGGGACATTTCTGATATTTTCCTTAGGCGAAATGATAAGATGCAGAATAACTCACAAAGCACACAGATGTTGGCTTTTGAGTCTCATTATCAAATACAAATTTATGCCGTTGTCAACAGCATAGAAGAGTGTCTTTTTTGCCCACACTAGTAATTTTCTATACAAATATTTGTTCTCCATTTTATAGATAAAGCAGGATCATTTGGTTTTCATTGCATTTAACGGATTCCTGGTGAGCTTAAATATTTCCAGGTTTGCTGTCCATTTGCGTTTCTCATTGCTTTGCATTTTGCATTCCTTTTCCTCATTTCACGTGTCTCCACTTCCCCACAGAATGACGTCCTGTGCTCAGCAGGTCTCTTTCCCACTCACTCCGGCCTTCAGGGCAGGAGTAATATCAAGATCTCACAGAAGAGCTTGGTGATTGTCACCTGCCTTGCAAATCAAACATGTGTTAGAAAGATGCACACTTACAAAGCCCATAGCTGGCTTGGCCAGCCACATCTGTCATTCCTCCCACCAGGAAGGCCACATTCCTCCCAGAGCTGTAAACCTCACATCTCGCTGAGTCTCTGGACACCATCACCCAGGGGCTGTGAGATCAGGAGGGCCCGCTGGTAACGACTTAACCAGGTGAGGTTCCAGTGTACTTCAGGGGTTTGCAGGACTGTGCCTCGAAGGAAGCGTTCCCTACTGCTTTGGGGAAACTGGCAATCGTAAATCAGGTAACACTGAGGCCCTGACTTACTTATCGTTCTACAAGTTTTACATACTAGGGCCAGCAAGGGACTCATTTGCCCAATTCATGGTTGATTTGCAGAGTCAGCACTTTGGGTGAGACCAGGCCACCTTGCTCAGCGAGGTCAGCATGTGCTGGGGTCTTGGAGGAATCAAGGCACCCTGTAGTGCTGAGGCCTTATCTTGTCTCTTGGTCTGGATCAAATGTCATCTTTCAGATACGTAAGACACAGGATGGAAAGTCACCAAAACAGTGGGAAATGCTTCCTCTCGGTGCTAAAAATGCTTTTTCCCGTCTCTCCCTGGCCTCCTCCAAGTTCCTATTCCTTTAGAGGAAACCTTTGCCCGGAGAGCAGCTGCACCCTTGTGATCCCAGAAATGATAGGGAACCATTAAAATAGGAACAGCAACGATAAAGAAGCTTTCAGGCCTTTGGCTCATGCTAATTAGCAATCAAGGCCAACGCCGAACCCAATGTCCCATAATAAATTATGGCACATCCTTACGAGAGAGTATTAGGCAGCTATTAAAAAAATGTTTTCAAAGAGTCTTTATGGCACTGAAAACTGCTTATGACACGAAGTGAAATGAAGGAAAGATGTAAAGCCCACACAGAACACAGAATACCGGTGATGTGAAAGACTGTCTGGAGATACTGTGGGTAACTGCGGTGACCTCTGCAGCAAAAATTATGTGTGCATTTTATGTTTCTCTCTTATTATATTTTTAAATTTTCCTACATTAGGCATTTGTACTTTTGTTTACCAAAAAATCGTTATTAATTTTAAAGATCAAGTCTGATGTGAGCTGCCCCAGGCCCTTGGAGATTTTCCATGTTCCTTCCTCCCTCCCTCCCTCTTCCCCCTTCCTCGCTCCCTCCTTTCTTCCTTCCTTCCTTCCTGCCTTCCTCCCTCTCTCCCTCCCTCCTTCCTTCACTTTCCTTCTTCCTTCTTCTCTTTCATTTTCTTCTCTTCCTTCCTTCCTCCCTCCCCCTTTCTTTTTCTCTCTCATTTTTCCTCCCTCTCTCCCTGCCTTCCTTCTTACCTTCCAGGAAACTGGGAATATTGACCAAAAACACATTTTCAACAGGCTCAAGAAGTTGGTTGTACCGATGCTGAATGAGGGGGCTTGGCTAATTTGGAAAAATCTTGGGGACCCAAACATTGTTCTGCGCTGTCCTGGTCACAGTGCTTCTAGGGGGCTAGTTTCAATTCTGAGTGCCAGGTTAAAATAAATATATAGAAAAGACTACCTTCTGCAGAATACAAAAATGGCAATAACATATTCACCATCGAAAGCCACAGCAGCAGCTCCACCTTGTACTGAATGCTTACCACATGCCAGATACTGGACGGAGACATGATCTATTGTTTGATGTAAGCTTTCAAACAACTCTCTTACAGCTGAGAAATGTGATTTCACCAACATTAAGTGCTGAGGTGGATCTATTTGAATCTGCGTTTGCCTAGGAAATGGAGGAAGGGAAGCTTTCCCGGGGAGGGTCCTGCCTCCTCTGCAGACAGGACAGCTTGGACTGTGGCCTTGGCTACTGGAACTGGAGAAGCTGGCTGGGAGGGCTGCATTGCCAGGGGAAGTTTGGATGGATTTTGCTGGACAAGAATGACAGTTCAACTCACTTTGGAATGACAGAGGTGTTGGGGATGCGACAGACTTAGCTCATAGGAAGCAGAAGGCTAAATGCTCTGCAATCAGGAATAGCGGGCTCCCACACGGCCTTAGTGGAATCCACTTTGCTTTTTGCCTGACTGGAGGATTCGATGGCTTGAGATGCCAAGCGTCGTTCAGGCCCATGGCCCCTGTGGGTGACTCTGGATCATGGGGAAATTGGGTCCATTCTTATAGTTTGCCAGGAATGTGACAGCAATTGACTGGGCCCCACCTGGGCAGTCCTCTAATTGCTGGTAGTGGGGCCCAGCCAGGGGCAAGGGGATGCTTGGATCAGACTCTTCCACTGGTCAGATGGGCTGGTTTTTGTTGTTGTTGTTTGTTTATTTGTTTTTTTGAGATGGAGTCTCTGTCACCCAGGCTGGAGTGCAGTGGCGCAATCTCTGCTCACTGCAACCGTCACCTCCTGGGTTCAAGTGATTCTCTTGCCTCAGCCTCCCAAGTAGCTGGAATTACAGATGTTTGCCACCACACCTGGCTAATTTTTGTATTTTTAGTAGAGATGAGGTTTCTGACCTCAAAGTGATTTGCCTCCCTCAACTTCCCAAAGGATTGGGATGACAGGCGTGAGCCACCGTGCCTGGCCTTCAAATGGACTGTTTCTTAGCTAGTGTAAGAATTATGGGTACCCCAAACAAGTCTATCCCACCAACTAACAGAGAAAAAATACAGGCAAATAATCTGTATGAAATATTAGTTTTAATAAAACAAAACCAGTCCATGTACAGAGGAATGGGCATAAGGTTAACTTGCACTAAATGTAACTTGTACGTTTTTTCTAAAATAATTGCTTGAGCATTGAGGACTTGGTGGCCTCCAGCACTAACCCCGAAGCTGAACTTCCTGGGAAACTGACCCAATGGGGCACCTAGAATTCAGGGGTGAAGTCTTTCTTCTTTCGGAGACCTGGTTCGGGGTCACATGCTCTTGAGGTCCCCAAAGACCACATGCGCTGCATTTCGCCCAGCGGCTCCCATCACACCTCCTCCTGGAAGGGAATCTCCTATGAACCAAAGCTCCACTAAAAAACCCACACGGGTTGGGGTGGAGGCAGGGCTTACAGAGATCCAGCAACAAAGCAGAGTGGGGCTGGTTAAAGGGGTGTGGGGGTGCGGGGGTGTGGGGCGCGGGCACTGGGATCACCTAGGACAGCTGTTCAATAGACCCTGGCTCCCTTCAGGCTTCCTGCACCAAGGGTCTGGGGAAGGGCCAGGTGCACAGCCCACAGTCTCAATGGCTGATGGTGGATGTGCTGGATGGGCAGACGCTCAGTAAGTAAAGTTAAAATTTCAGAATAAAGGGCTGGGTGTGGTGGGGGAGGATGTGGAAGCACAGATTCCCTCCAGGGGGACCAAGTCCACACAGCTCAGAGAAGGTGTGCACAGCGAATGACAATCCTGCCAGCTCCGAGAGGCTTGGAATGGGCACAAGAAAGAATTGTAAAGTTGAAGAAGTTAACTTGATCCATCCTTCCTGGTCTAAAATATGGCTGGGGCCTCTAATCCCAGCACTTTGGGAAGCTGAGGTGGGAGGTTCACTTCAGCTCAGGAGTTCAAGACCAGCCTGGGCAACGTAACAAAACCCATCTCTACAAAACTAAAAAATTAGCCGGGCGTGGTAGCACACACCTGTAGTCCCAGCTACTCCAGAGGCTGAGGAAAGAGGATCACTTGAGCCCAGGAGGTTGAGGTTGCAGTGAGCTGTGATCATACCACTGCACTCCAGCCTGGGTGACAGAGTGAAACCCTATCTAAATATACATTCGGATGGGGAATTTAGGGACATAGGGTCTCTCACAACCCCACAGTGCAATGTGGTGAGATGCCTCCACCAGGACGCATCCTCAGGCCTCCTGAAGGGGAAGTACGAGCTCAACTTTGAGCTGCGGTCATCCTGGTGGAGGCAGTGGCTGGGGGCTCACCTGTGCATGGAGAATTCTGAACACGGGGCAGCTTCTTATGGTGGGAGTTCCCTGCTCCCCTCCCTTTCTGCTGCCTTCATTGTTTATCGTCTTCCTCCTTTTCCAAGTCTCTGACCTCCAGTGAGCCCTCCCAACCCTCACAGGGTAAGTGGGACTCCAAGTCACTTACCAGGGTGAGCCCCACTTCCACAGAGATACAGGCCCTGGAGAGGGCAGCGGTAGCCGGAGTGCAGGGGCACAGGGCGGGCGAAGTAGAGCTGGTCCAGGGTCATGGCACAGTGGAATATGTTCTGCAGAGACAGGGCCACAGTCATGAACACAGGAACAGTGCAGCCTTTACTGCCTTGCCGGGGCTTCTTTGCCTCCCTTGTTCTCTAGCAAAATTTCTGTTTCTGAGATATTTTCTTGAGTTCATAAAATGCAGAAAGGGAAGGAGATGAGATGGCATGGGCACATGCCCTGGGGCTGGGCATGATGTTTTCCAAAGGCTTTTTGAGGAAGAAAGCAGGGTAAGGAACAGGAACTTGAATGGGAAAGAAAAGAGAGTTCTGTGGTCCACTTTGCATCCCTCTGCGCGCCGTTGGAAAAACACAGGCGTCCGGCTTATGTGGCTCCTGGCCTGCTCTCTGCAGGAACTCCCTTCTCTGGCCAAGGCAGCCACCTGAGCCTGGACTCCAGCCTCCAAGATCCAGCAGGATCACTCTGAATGGCACACAAGGGGCAATGGAGCCTGAGCATGGTTCTGGCCCCCTGGCTTGGGTGAGACCAGCCCCAGGCTGAGAAGGGCAGCAGCGTGGCACGGACAAAGGTCAGACTTATGGTGCAGGTCTGGCAAGAAGCCCGATGTCTGCTGGACGTCACCATAGGAGTGCCCCCCCACTGCCCTGCTCACCTTGCCCCAAACTGAAGCCATCTTATTCCCTTGAGTCTGCTCCTCCCAACCTCCAGCGTCAGTGAATGACACCACCTCCCTCCCCTCCGGCCTCTGGGCCCACCCTTCACATCCCTCCACCCTGACTCCCATGTGCACACTGTCACTGAGGCTTCTTAAGTCTGCCCGCCCCATGCCTGCTGCACCCAGCCCTTCCCTTCCTTCCCACTGCCTGGGCTTCTTTCCTCTATAGCTGGACCAGTACTGTCCAGTGAAAATGTACCAGGAGCTAGGAGCTACATATGTCGTTTTTGATTTATTAGTAGCTACATTTAAAAAGTAAAAGCAGAGCCGGTTGTGGTGGCCCGTGCCTGTAATCCCAGCACTTTGGGAGGCCAAGGTGGGAGGATCACTTGAGCCCCAGAGTTTGAGACCAGCCTAGGCAACATTGGGAGATGCCACCTCTACCAAAAAAAAAAAAAAAAAAAAAAAAAAAAATTAGCCAGGCATGGTGGTGCATGCCTGTGGTCCCAGCTACTCAGGAGACTGACGTGGGAGGATGGATGGTTTGAGGCCCAGAGGTCAAGGCTGCAGGGCACTACTGTACTCCAGCCCGGGTGACAGAACAAGACCCTGTCTCTAGAAGGAAGGAAGGGAGGGAGGGAGGAAAGGATGGAGAAAGGGCAAGCTGGTGAAATTAATGTCAATGACATATTTTATTTAGCGTAACATATCCAAAATATCATAATTTCAACATGGAATCAATATATAAATCATTGATGAGCTTTTCTACATTTTTTTCTATACTGTGGGCATTCTGCACTTGCAGCACATTTCACTTTGGCCTCAGATCTTTCTTTTGCTTTTTTTTTTTTTTTTTAATTTTCTGTTTAGAGACAGGGTCTCATTCCGTTGCCCATGCTGAAAAGTAATGGCGCATCACAGCTCACTGCAGTCTCGAACTCCCGGGCTCGAGTGATGCTCCTGCTTCAGCTTCCTGAGTTGCTGGGGACACAGGTATGTACCACCACACTGGGCGATTTTTTGGTTTTTCATTTTGGAGAGATGGGTCTCACTATGTCACCTAGGCTGCTCTCTGACCTTTCAAGTGCTCAGTAGCTGCAGTGAGGTGATTGAGCCTGGCCTCCTAACTGGTCTCCCTGTCTCCCATCTCTAGTTTTTGATAAATTGAAAAGTCTGAGGATGTGTTGCTTCTTTGAGAAGGGGGCGGTGTCTCTAAAGAAAGTCAGGTGGCAGAGCCAGTATCGTTGTCAAGGCAGAGGGCGGCAATCCTGGTGACCTTCCCAGTGGGGCTGTCCTGCCTGGGTTCTGAGTCCCCAGCAGGGACCCCCCATTCCTTTGATTTGACCACTTCTCTGTCCTCTCTCAGCTGGGGTCCCTGCCACTGTCCTCCTTCCTAATGCAAGCTGAGTATGGAGAGACAAGATAAAGAGAGAGGACGCAGCCAGGAAGTGGGAGTGCAGAGAGAAGACTGTGGCTAGACTCCCCCGGGCTTATACATACCCCTCCAGGAAGTCCAAAGATTCTCTCCAAATCTGGGGGTGTGAGGATGTCTCTGCCAACCACAGAGTCCTTGAAGCCGGGCGCATAGGCCTCGATGCAATCAAACACTGGGGTGCCAATAAACAGAAATGAGATGGCATTTGGAAGAAGAGGGGGTGCTATGGGTGTACAACTTGGTAAATTTATTAACAGTCATTAAATTACACACTGAAATGGGTTTATTTTATCACACGCAAATTATACTTCAATAGGTAAAAAACAAAAATCAGTCTACAAGCAAATAAATAATTCATCCCAAATATGCATAGATCCAGTCTCCAATTTTCCCCGCTTCCCTACCCCAATCCTTTGTCTCCTCTTGCATATGCAAAGCTTTTTTTCACCTCATCACTTTGCTCAAGCTTGCTCTTTCTCCTTCCTTCCCTCCTTTCATCCCTCCCTCCTTCCTTCCCTCCCTCCTTCCTTCCCTCCTTCCTTCCCTCCTTCCCTCCCTCCCTCCTTCCTTCCCTCCTTCCTTCCCTCCTTCCCTTCCTCCCTTCCTCCTTCCTTCCTTCCTCCCTCTCTCCCTTCCTTTCTTCTCTCTCTCTCTCTCTCTCTCTCTCTCTCTCTTTCTTTTCTTTCTAGGTAGAGTCTTTGCTCTGTTGCCCAGGCTAGAGTGCAGTGGGGCAATCTCAGCTCACTGCAACCTCCGTCTCCTGGGTTCAAATGATTCTCCTGCCTCAGCCTCCCAAGTAGCTGGGACTACACGAATGTGTCGCCATGCCTGGCTAATTTTTTTGTGTTTTTAGTAGCTATGGGTTTCACCATGTTGGTCAGGCTGATCTTGAGCTCCTGACCTCAGGTGATCCACCTGCCTCACCCTCCTGAAGTGCTGGGCTTACAGGCGTGAGCCACGACACCCGGCCTGCTCAAGCTGCTTCTCTTGCTTGGAATGGCCTTTGCTGTCTGGGCAGCTCCTAGTCATGACCGTCCCTTCCTTTGAAAGCCTTCCTTGTCTCTCTGGCTCATGCTTCTCCTTTGTTTCATACGGCAAGCTGTGCTGCAATGGCGTGTTTCTTAATTAGTCTCCCCCATACCCCGCTAGACTGCAAGCAACTGGAAGGCAGGAACTGTCTTCTTGCCTGAGCCCAGCAGTCATTCACTATGTTGACTTGAGGTTCCCTTGAGTATTTCCTTCCTTTGGGACAGCACCTGCAGCTGTCAGTCCTGATGGGGTGGTGAGGAGGAGTGGGCCCAGTCGGGTCACATGCCCGGCTGTGGCTCTGGAGGCAGAACATGCCGCTCTCTTTACCTCTGTCTGCATAAGCGTTTCTCTCCTGCTCATCCCAGGCCTTGCCTCCAGCCAGCGTGTAGGGTGTGTACTGAGTGAAGAGGGAGACCACGTGGCAGCCAGCAGGAGCCAGGGTGGGGTCCAGCGAGGAAGGGATGCAGAGCTCAATCAGAGGCCTGTGCGAGCGGGGAGGTGAGACGGCAGGTCTAAAGAGCAGCAGTGCCAGGGGAAGGGCCTCTGAGATGCCTTGGGACACAGTGGAGGCACTGAGATGACAGCAATCCTGGGCGATTGTCACTGTACAGCCATAGTGGGTGTCTACCTGCATGGGCTTAGTGGCTGCTAGTGTGGTCCAGAACATCTGTGAGGAGTTCCCCTAGACCCAGACCCCCGAATGCATGGCCTGTCCTGTCTTCCTTCGTCACACACGCTGTGCCCTAACCAGGACTCCCAAACTGAAATGTCTCCAAGATCCACACAGACAGTGCGAGGGTGGAAGGGGGCCAGGCCTCAGACAGCAGGGGCCCAGGCGGCCTGATCTCAGCCAGGCTTTAGTGGCTTGCCTTTTCCAGAGCAGGCCAATGGAAAACAGAGTTGCTAGGGCTGCCCCGAGCCCCAGCAGACCTGTGACCTGCTTCCCAGCCACCACCTTTGCCTGCCACACCTTTTCTACCTGGAGCACATTATCCCCACTCATCTCCAAATACGAGCCTCCTTCGAGGCCACGGGAAATGCTCCTTCTCCCCGCGTCCCTCAGCCGCAATGTTCTCCCTGAACTCGGATGTCCACCGGGGATCTGAAACAGCATGCCACCGTGTTCAAACCCCAATGCCTGATTATCCTCTAAAATCTGCTCTACCCCCACTGCCTCTTCCTCTCTTCAGGAAATGGAGTTGTCATTTCCCAGTCCCTCCTTTTTTTCCACCCACGTCCCACTCCTGTCCAACAGCAAGTCCTGTTGGCTTCACCTTCAAAATACACCCAGTCTTCCGTCACTTCTCATAATGTCCATTGCGTCTGCCCTTGTCCAAGCCACTGTCCTCTCTCCCTTGGATTCTGCAACGGTAACCCATTGCAACAGGTGCGCTAAAGCACCCAGGTTGGTCTTTTTAAAGTATAAGGCAGGCTCTGCACACACCTTCCTGGAGTAAGAGCCAGGGCAGTTGACAAGACCCAGCATGACCTCAGACCCTTCGCTCCCAGGTGCCCTCTCTCCAGCCACTCTGGCTTCGCCCCTGTGCCTCCCGCACAGCAGCACATGCCTGCCCCGGGCCTTTGCACCTGACCTTCCCTCTGTCTCGTTCTTTCCCAGATACCCACAAGACCCGTATTCTCACTTCCTTCCAGTCCCTGCTCCAGCACCGCGTTATTAGGGAAGCCTTTCCTCCCCTCCTTGCCTGTTTTTCTCTGCAGTGCTCATCATCAGTGCTCATTTGTTGATTGTCTTCCTCTCACCAGTAGAAAGTCAGTGACCTGAGGCCTTGTTGGCTTTGCTTGCTGATCTGTGCCCAGTCCCTGAACCAAGACTGGCACAGAGTAGAGACCCCAAAATACGTATACATGGATGAATGAACTTTGCCCTATACTCTTCTCCTCTCCAGGTGCACATCTTTACCACGCGCTATAAATACCCGTGTACCTGTCGTTTGATAATACGCTTTGTGTCAGTTCACGCCCCTGCCCCGCTGCTCCCCCCAGCCCATGCTTAGTGCAGAGCCCGGCACAGAGCAGGTTTTCAACACGGTGTGCTGGACAGTGGACAGGATGGAAAGGCGCCTGCTCCTATAGCGCCCCGGCCTGTTCCAGAAGGATGGAAATACAGCTGCAGTGGGAGGTGGGAAATGCTTTGAGGAGGCAGCTTATCAGAAAAAGAAAGGTTATGGAGCAGGGCACTCGGTGAGTGCATGCACTCTGCGTGCTCTGAATCACAGAACCTCCTTTGCTCTCCCAGAAAACATTTTCTGCTCTTCCTCCCCAGCCCCAGCACTTTCCTGGGCAGTGCTCTGCCCCTCTGCCCCTTCCACTAACCTGTGCCGCTCCTCACCCCTTACCTGCCCGAGTCCTCAGGTTTTTCACCTGGGATACTCTTCCTGTCCTTAGAACTTAAGTATGGGTTTTGGCAGATCCCAGGTCATGGTGAAGGCTGAATGCCAGGCCTGATCCCTGCTGTGTGTGGCATGAACAGCCCTGCTTCCCAGGCCCATGTGGGAGAACATCAGGGGACACAAAGCCCTGGGCCCCTACCTGTGGGAAGGCAGCCCGTCCATGGCATCTTCGAAGGCCTGATGCAGGAGGAGGGTGTCTTCACAGTTCAGGTGCATGGAGCACTGGTGATGGGGCAGTGGCTGGCCTCCGGGAGCATTGGGGGCCGCCAGGAAGCTGGGCAGCCTGTCTACGGCCACTGAGGGACCAAAGAGGAGGGTCAGGTCTCAGCCCCGCAAGGTCCTCCCTCTACAGCCAGCACCCTGCTACCCCCAGTGGGGGAGGGGAGCAGGAAAGCAAGAGCAGGCGTTTCACCTTCTGAGCAGGTGCCGGGGGACACGGGCTGGAGGTCAGGGAATGGAGATGATGATGGAGCTCAGCTGCCCCCAGCCTAAAAGTTGGTCGCTCAGATGGGTCAAAGGAGGCAGTGCCTCTTACCATTGATCTTGGTGACAGGAGACCGGGTGTCCAGCTGAGAGATTCTCTCCACGAACTCCTCAGGAAGCCACTCCTGGAAAGAGAAGGCTCCGTGGAAGGTCTCAGATGTCCGAGGCCTCAAGGAAGCTGCCTTCTTTCTTTGCTCAGGCAGATCCCTCCATTGCTGCCTCTGGAAATCCTCTTCATTTTTCAAAGCTCAGCCAAAACCACCTCCTCTGTGAAGCCTTTCTAGATGTCCTCCTACTCAGCTCTAACCACTTCCTCCTCTGTGCTTGGCCAGCAGTTCTGACTGTGAAATAGTCCACATCTCTCCCTGCTTGCAAAGGGGTCAGTAGTTTGCAGGCCTCTTTTCACTACTGGTCTGTAAGCTCCTGGAAGCCTCAATGATCTTAGAATTGCCTTAACAAGTTTCTTTTTGCTCATGTTTGTTGAATTTTGTTAATGAAATCACGCAGAAAAAATAGTGCTTTACCCCTAAGAATCCCCCAAGAATGGCTGGGAGCTTCTTGCTCATATACATGTTATCATATATTCAGGCACAGGGAAAGTCAATTGCAAAAACTGCCCCCAAACCTCACCCCTCCCTGTTTGCACACCCACTTCTGACTCTGGGCATGGTCATGAGACTTGCTTTGGCAAAGAGATCAAGCCATGTGATGCTTTCATGCATGATTGAGCTTGCCTGCTTTTGCCCTCTGCCAGACTCTGAGAATGTGCCTGAATGCTGTGCTGGAGGAGGACAGACACATGGAGCAGAGCTGAGTCCCCGTCACCCCAGCAGAAACCGCCCTGGACCAGCCACCACCAGCCAGCTCCCAGGCACAGGAAGGTGTCCCGCCAAGATCAGCAGAGTCGGCAAGCTGACCCACAGCTGACTGCAGAGGCATGGGCAAGCCTTAAGCAGCTGAAATCCACCAAGATCAACTGAAGTCTCCAGTTCTGGGGGCCAGTATTTCTTGTATGCCCAAAAGTTTTGTGGCTTTTTGTTATGATTAATAATCATGGATATTACAATAGATTGTTGACCCAGGCAATGGAATTAGAGCTACGGAGAGATGAGAAATCAGGAATGTACGAAAGTTGTGGAAATAACTCTAGATTGAAAGTTAGACCTGGGTTCTAGCTCTGGCTCGGCCAGTGGCCAGAACCTTGCTCACTTCACCTCTCTGGCCCTTTCTCCTCACCTGTGAGGCTTCTTCCTTGTTTGCTACCTGCCCTTACCTCCTGCTTCCCAAATGCAGAGACTTCGCTTTTGCATCTCACACCCTGATGCAATCCTGGCTGCCTCAATCCCCACGGTTTCCAACCCCTGTTCGGGCAGATGTCTAAACTCCCCCCTCCCTCCCCCCGCAGCCTCACCTGTGGCGTCAGCTTCAGAAAGGTGATCTGCGGTGATGCACTGGACAGTACCACTTTGCTTCTCACCTCTGTGCCGTCTTCCAGCACAATTCCTTGCACGCAGCCTTCGCTGTTCACCTGCACCTTCGCCACTGTCTACAGCCCACCAGAAAGAGGCCCCAGAAACCCCCAGGAAGGGAAATCTAGGTTAGATCTTGTGGGATTTCCGTGGTCTGTGCTGCTCCTAGGCATTCACAGCTTCTTCATCCCAAAACCGCCCCACCAAGTTCTGCAGCTTCTCCATGAAGCCTCAGCCCACAGCTGGTTCCATGATCAGGGAATTCAAGAGGAGTGGGTTAGCCACTAGCAGGTGGTATGACAGTAGTCTCTTGATTCTTCAAATTCTTCAACCTCCCCACCCCCTCCATCCGCCCATCACCCCTCTGTTCATAGGTAAAACAAGGGACCTTCCAAATCTGGGACTCTGTTCTGTCCTGGGATCCTTGCCAACAGTTGGGGTGAGGTAGAGGGGCCATTCACCTTTTCAGTGAAGATACTTGCTCCATGTGTGGTGGCTGACCTTGCGATGGCATCAGAGAGGGCACCCATGCCCCCCTGGACATAGCCCCAGGCCCCCGGTGTCCCCTCCAGGCCCCCCATCACATGATGCAGCAGCACATACCTGAGGACAGACCATCCAACTCAGAGCCTGGAGGTGGCACCTAATCTCCCCAGAGTTCTAGGCACAGCTATTCCTTTTCATCTTGACTTTCAGCCCCTCCCTGCCAACATCTAGCCTTTTCCCAGCAGCCTTTAATGAACTCAAGTTCTTGTAAGAGCCCTTTGCCTTCTCTACACCCTCTCCCCAACAAATGAGTCTATATGCATAGCTTTATTACCAAAAATAAGGCAGCTGTGCCCAAACCTGCAGCTCCAGCACTCTCCTGAGCTCCAGCCCGCATCCAGCTACCCACAGATATCTCCATTTGGACGCTTTCTTGGCAGGCATCTTAAACTCACCACCTTTTCCCTATTCTCCAGCTGCTTCCCCTTCAATCTTGCCCATCCCATTGAACGCACCTTCCAGCGAAAGGTTCTGTTTCCAACAGAAACCCAGGTGTCAGCCTTAACCTCTACCATCCTTCCCCATCTTCATCCACAAAGCACCAACAACTCAGCCTCCAGAGGGCTTTCAAGGTCACCCCATCTCTTGACCTCTCTTCTCTTCCTTATGCTGCTGCAGTAGCACCCCGTCATTGGGCACCCCCCCACACACACACTTTCTCCCCTGCAGGTCTTTGTCCACAAATCTCCCAGAGCCCTATCTCAAAGCCCAGCCATTCTCCTGCCGCTCACTTATCTCCATTCTAAGCCTCCCGGCTTGGCGCTGCTCTTAGGGTAACGGCCAGACTCCTAGCACGTGCTCCAGCCTCATCCCTCATCCTGTCCCCATCTCCATACCCCACCCTCCTAACTAACAGAACCTCTCGATTCCTTGGATGGATCACATGTTCCCTCAACCCCAGCATTCGCCCCTGCTGTTCTGTTAGCCTGAAGCCCTTTCCTCCCTCACCTTCTGTTTCGCTAACTCCTCCTTGTCCTTTGCGTCTCAGATCAAACACCTCTTCCACGTGGAGGCTTCCCTGATCCTAGACCAGGCTGTGACCCGGCTGCTCTTCCTAGCATCACACTCACGCCACTTCATTATCATCACTTGCTCTCCGTCTCTCACCCACCAGGACGTCTGCTCCGCTCACTACGGTATCCCCAGCACCTAGCACAGGCAAGCGCTCATCCATATTTGTAGGGATAATTAATGAAGGAACAAATTACTTAAAGGCACATTTCACAAACTGAGCAGTGGGTCAGCCTCCCAGAGATCCGAAGAGAAAAGGACAGGAGGCCCCAGCTGGAAGATCCGGATAGGCTGGTTGATCAGATCTCGGCCAACGTGTAGCAACTGCTGCCAAGCCCCCTCCCACAGGGCCCTGGGGGAACTTGGGGCTGGCTTAATATGTGTTGAAAAACCACTTCCAAGGCTGTGCTCATCCCTTGAGAGAAAAGCCACGTCGACAGCTTCTAGCTTCTAGCTGCATCTTCTGGTGCACTGGAAACGGTCCAACCCTTGGTGGCATCATCCTCCATCCTAACACACACACACACACACACACACACACACACACCCACACCCCTCCATTCCTGCTCCTGCAGGGCTCATTAAGTCAGACCACACTGCAGGCTTCGCTGTGTCTGACTGCCACCTTTCGGACTGGGCTGTCAGCACAAACCCTCACTCACAAAGAGAAAGGCAGCTTCTTGTCCCTCCTGAGGTGTCTGTGTGAGTGTGTCCCAGAGCCCAGGGAAGGGAACGGTGGGAGAGAAGTGAGAACGGGCCTTTGCGGTAGAGGAGAGGTGGAACAGGGAAGGGAAGAGGAGAGAAAAGAAGATATGAATGTTGCGATATCAAGCGGGAGGCGGGAGAGAGCCTTTTCTTAGTGAAGCAGTAGGGCACCGTCACCAAGAAGGAATATTCTGGGGAGTCAGACACCTCGAGCTGGAAATCAGCCTTGCCACTTACTAGCCGAGTGGCTCTGGGCCGGACACTCCCCTCTCTGAACCACAGTTCTCAGATGTTGCTCTGCGGGTTAAACGAGTCGTGTGGGATGTGCCCGGCTCGGTTCCTGGCTCACTGGGTGAGCTCGGTAAGTGGCAGCGGTTGTTGCTGCCACTGCCGCTGCTGTCCTGGCTCCTGTTGGGAGACACGCTCCGCTCCCATGTCCCGCCTCACCCCCCTCACTTACCCACTCCCTGGAGTGCAGGGACTTGTCATGGCTCCAATCACAGCATCTGTGGCTAGAGTGGCTTTTAGAGGCTCGGACTCAAACCACTGATCCAGCACCTGGACGGCAAAACAGCAGAGAGAAGGGCTTAGGGTCCCCGATGGGAGGAGGGTCCCCTCACTGCCTGGTCTGGTGTGAGGCTGGGAAACTGCTCACCTTGGTAATGGGAGCTGTGAGGAACTCATAATACCGGGGAAGCTGGGCTCCCAGGATGCGGCCTGCAAGAAATGAGTCACAAAACAGAAGTGGAAACAGGTAACAGGGAAACCCTTCGACCTGGCCCGGGGTGGGGGTTTAAAAGAACAGAGGAGGCTGAGGCTTCCTGCCAGGAGGTAGCATAGCACAGCCAATGCAGGGACAGATCCAGCCTGAGTCCTGGCCGCACCTCCCACCGGCTGCAGGGCCTGGGCACGTTTTTAACATCCCTGAATCTGCTTCTTTACCTGTAAAATGGGAATCCTATTTTATACCCCAAGGACTATGGTGAGAATTAAGTGAGCTAGGTAAAGCATTTGCAAGTTCATAGGCACTTAATACAATTAAGCAGTTAGCATTCTTCTTGGAAAATATCAAGCATGTGATCAGCATGTGCTTCCACGAGGAGGATGGGAGGTGTGGAGCAGGGCTGCCTCCACGGAGATGCCGCAGACGCAAACACAGGCATGATACCAGACCGGAGCAGCTGAGCCACAAAGATGTGTGGGAAACAAATGGTTTTTTTTTTTTTTCTAGGATGTAGACGCTAAACTGGTGTTCCACCCTCAAGGAGGGTGGAAAATAATAGCACACTTTATGAGCCTTCCATTCTCATACTCATGGCAGACAATACAACTGATCACAGAACTCCTCCTTGCTGAGCCCAAATCTAGCATTGTTTCTGTATGGGACAGCTCTTCAAATCTCTTGGTCCCTATATCTTAGTCGAGCCATGGCCTTGAGGCTGAGCTCCATGCAGGCTTGGATCAGCTTCACACAGACAACTCCGCAGCATCTCACTTCAGTCCTGAAAAGTGAGCCTCTCTATTTCTTCCCTAGGGCTTCTCTGGCACCACAGCAGGGCGCTCATGGGAACCTACTTGGCACCCACAGATGCACAGGCCGGAAGCGTGGGAGTCAATGCCCTGTGAGGCAAGCCTTGACCAATGGGGGATAGAACTCAATGGACAAATACTTTCCTTTCCGTCTCCCGAGAAAGTTCCTCAAATGCATTTCATAAGGCTTCCCAGAGGGCCCGCACAGGTCCAGCACCTTGTCACCCACAGCGCTGGCTGGTGCGACCACACACCCTGGTATTGACTCTTTCTCTCTCCACTTTCTCTCCCGCTTTCTCCTATTTTCATGCCTTGGCATCACCCTTCCAAATGAGCTACCCACGCATAAGCCTTGGTCTCAGGCTCTAGTTTAAAGGCACATCAGCCTAAGACACTCTCAACAAAGTGCTCCAGGCCGCCCCTAACTGATCACAGCATGTTAACTGAACCCAGCTGGCAGGCTGCACTGGAGGCCCAGGCTTGTGTCCAGGTATCAAGACAATGGACTTCCATCCTTGAAGGTCACTCCTCATGCCCTGGTGGCTGCACTTGGACTTACCTGCCTTCAGCAGGGGCTTGAGGGTAGAGAGTGACCTGATCCTTTGCAGCAGGGAGCCACGCTGGAAGGCCGCCATGTCCACGGGGGCCACATCCAGCAGAGGGTCAATGGCTAATGCCAAGCAGTGCATGAACTCCTCGTATCTGGGAAAGGCCTGGAACAGAGCTCTGCATCAAGGCTCCATCATCTACATCCCTGACCTCCATGCTGCCCCCACATGGCCTGTCACCCCCCACAGCATCACAGTTCCTCAGGCCTCATTCCCTGCCGTGGCTCGGCTTTGCCTCTGTTGAGCTCCCCCAGTTCCAGGTCTCTGGGTTAACATCAACACCAGGAAGAGTGCATGGGGTGGGGGTGGGGGGGTCAGGGAAACCCTGGGCAACAGGAGAGCCACCAGGAATGGTGACAGGGACAAGGAGCTAATGCTGGCCAACACAAAGTGTCACCCACAGAAAACTGGCAAGAATCCTAGAGTGTGGTCTCTGCGATAAACCATGAAATCACTTACAAGTTTCTTCCTTCTGTCCTTTTTTTTGAGACAGAGTCTCGCTCCGTCACCCAGGCTGGAGTGCAGTGGTGTGATCTCAGCTCACTGCAAACTCTGCCTCCTGGGTTCAAGTGATTCTCCTGCCTCAGCCTCCTGAGTAGCTGGGATTATAGGCATATGCCACCATGCCGGCTAATTTTTTGTTTTTAGTAGAGACAGAGTTTCACCATGTTGGCCAAGCTGGTCACTAACTTCTGACCACAAGTGGTCTGCCCACCTCAGCCTCCCAAGGTGCTGGGATATAGGCGTGAGCCACCACCCCTAGCCTGTCTTTCTGTCCTTTCATATATTACTGGTAGAAGTTAGGTCTCTTTGCCTTTATTCTTTTCCAGTCTGTAGGTCTCCCACACTGTCTCATCACCTGCAGTCACAGAAGCCTGCCTCCTCTCACCCCACAAGCTCCCATGTCAGAATCCACTTTCGGAAGCCTGGTTTCTGACACCCGCCCCTCCTTCCCTGGTAGGCACAGGAGCAGTGATGGATGTCTGTGCTACTGGAGGCCCCACCTGATTCTTCTTAGCCCTGAACTTTGCATTTTGGTCCATCTGTACCCATGGACATACCCATGGCATTTTAATAAGTGTTACATAAAGAAAAGTCCCATGTTAAAATATATTTGAGATGTCTTGGTGAAAATGAAGTTAAGCAGCTTCCTCTAAGCAGGCCTTTAATATGACAGCATGAAAAGACAAAACCAGAAATCAAGCTCCTCACTTTCCATGATGGGAAAGGGGCCCTTGCCTCCTGCATGTGTGGTCGCTAGAGCACAGGGCCACAGCTAGTGTCCTGCAGGCCCAGGGACATGGCCTTGTGCCCAATCCCCTCAAGTCCATCTGAGATGGGCAGGATTTGGACAAGAGGAAGCAGATGGTGGTCTCTAACTTGCTGCATAAAAGAACCCCCAGAGAAGCACTTTTAAAAAGCTAAGCCTCTCGGGCCGGGTGCAGGGGTTCATGCTTGTCATCCTAGTACTTTGGGATGCTGAGGTGAGAGGATTGCTTGAGCTCAAGAGCTCCAGATCAGCCTGGGTAACATAGTGAGACCTTTGTCTCTACAGAAAAATTAAAAGTAACTTAGCCGGGTATGGTGGTGCATGCCTGTAATCCCAGCTACTCAGGTGGCTGAGGCAGGAGGCTTGCTTGGGCCCCAGAGGTAGAGGGTGCCATGAGCCAAGACTGCACTGCTGCACTCCAGCCTGGGTGACAGGGTGAGACTCTGCCTCAAAAATAAATAAAACAAAATAACAAAATAAAAGGGTAAGCTCCTCAGGTGATTCTGATCATCAGCCAGGTTTGAAAACTGTGGGTTGAAGAGACATATAGGCTGTGTGTTTGCAGTTCTCTAAGTTTTACCCAACATTAGATTAACACAAGAGCAATGTACATGGGTTCTATTAACCTAGATTCTTCTTACAAAAATGTCTCCACCGCTACATCTCGGCTTGTATCCAGGCTTCGTACAAAATGGCCATTCAAATAATCTTTCTATATCTGTAGACCCAATCATGGCAGGCCCCTTCTGGAACTCAGCGGCTCATCTAGACAAAGCCACCTAGCAGATTCTTAGAACGCAATCTCAAGGAAAAAGAAGTGCGTTCCCATCCGTCATGTGTTCCTGCTGTCACCAGACCTGCACACCAGCATGGGCACTTTGTCACCTAGGGCAGCCAGGATGGAGCCTTGGGATGCCACATTGAATGAATACTTAGAACTCCTTTGTCCTAAGTTCCTGATCCAGTTCATTTTATCCTTAATTGTCTCTGATCTTCCCTCGTCCTCCTTTTCGGCTTTCATGTGGACAGGCACTTGGAACTCTGCCTGAAAGCAGTGGGGTATCAAGCACATACCAGTGTGAGAACACACCAGTGCATTTCCTTTTGAACTCAGTAGGCACCTCATACTCACACACGAAGGTGTGCGGGCCTCCCAGTTTACTGGTCTTAATTGGTATCCTCTACCTGCTTCTCTTCACAGTGCCTGAGATCAAGAGCTGGCACTGACTGGAGCTCTCAGGAATGTGGGGTGGCCTGGCCCAGTGCCCATGGCCTTTGGACAATGGTTCTAGGACAATCCAACCAGACCCCTCTCCAGGCTACTGAGGGAGGAGGAGCTCAGTCACCGGTTGCCTTGCCTACCTGGGCATCCTTCCGGGAGAACTGGGCGATCTGCTTCTGGTTTTCTGCCATGTCTGTGCCCAGCAGAAGGGACCTGGGCACCTTGCCGCCTGCACCCTCTTCCAGCATGGGGGTGAAGGAGTGGGGGTTTCGAAGATGAAGCCTCAGCCCATGTTTCTGCAGCACACAAACAGCACAGGCAACATATTAATGGTTCTGTGGTCTCTGCCCATCACCCTTCTCGGACTGCATCTGTGTGACCATTTAGGTACCTGTGTGCAGGTTCCCAAGTATATGACCCTGGTGTCTGTTTTTTAAATATAAGTTTATAAAAGGCAAAAGATTTATACAATCTGAAGAGAAACTAGAAAAAATAAAAAATAAAAATAAATAAAAATAAAAAGCCCTCTTGCCCAAGTGCCCTATGGTAGATGATGCTGTATCACACCGCAGTACACGATACCATTCTATACCATACCATACATACCACATATGCCATGCCATACACCACCACACCGTGTCACACCACCTCATACTATACCAGACTACCTCGCATCACACCATACACACCATGCCATACCACGCCCTACCACACCATACGATACTATACAATGCCATACCACACCACATTACACTACTTCATACCACATCACACTGTACCACGCCACATCATACCACACCAAACTATACCATGCCACATCATACCACATCACACTATACCACACCACGTCATACCACACACTGCACCATGCCACGTCATACCACACCACACTACACCACATCATATCACAGCACACCACACCATGTCATGCTCATTATATGCCAGGGACTGTACTAGGGTTTACAGTGGTTACCTCACAACAGCTTTGTAATGTGATGTAACAGTCTTGCATCACTTAACGATGGGGATATGTTCTGAGAAATGCATTGTTAGGCAATGCATTTAGTTTGATGCATCACAGTTTGAGCATCACAGAGTGTACCTACACACACCTACATCTGATAGCCTACTACACACCTGTAGCCTGTTGCTGCAAGCCTGCATAGAATGTTACTACACTGAATACTATAGGCAACTGTAATACGATGGTGAGTATTGGTGTATCTAAACATATCTAGGAAGGGTGCAGTGGCCCATGCCTGTAATCCCAGCACTTTAAAGGGAGGCTGAGGCAGGAGGATCACTTGAGGTCAGGAGTTCGAGACCAGCCTGGCCAACATGGTGAAACCCCATCTAAAAATACAAAAATAGGCAAGGTGTAGTGGTGCACGCCTGTAACCCCGGATACTCGAGAGGCTGAGGCAGGAGAATTGCATGAACCCAGAAGGCGGAGGTTGCAGTCAGCCGAGATTGCACCACCGCACTCCAGCCTAGCGACAGAGTGAGACTCTGTCTCAACAAAACAACCCCCCTAAAACATACCCAAACATAGAAAAGGTATATTAAGAATATGGCATAAAAAATAAAAAATGATGCTGTATAGCGCCCTCGTGCTGAATGGAGCCTGCAGGGCCGGAAGCTGCTCTGGGTGAGTGAGTGGTGAGTGGGCGTGAAGGCCAGCACGCTGCTGTACGCTCCTGCGTACTTATAAACACAGCACACGCAGGCCACACTACATTTATTAAAACATTCTCTTCAGCAAGTTAGCTCACAGCAACTTTGAAACTTTAGAAATGTTTTAATTTTTAAAACCTTTTTGATTATTTTAAGAAGACACTTGGCCTAAAACACAAACATATCGTACAGCTACGTAAAAATATTTCTGTATGTCTTCATTCTATAGGCTTTTTCCTGTTTTTACAACTTTTATTTTTATTTTTTACTTTTTAAACTTTTTTGCTAAAAAGGAAAATGCAAACACATCAGCCTAGGCCTACACAGGGAGAGGATCGTCACTATCACTGCCCTTTCACCTCCACTGCAGGGTTCCAGGGACAGGAACACACGTGGAGCTGTCATCTCCTAGACAGCAATGCCTTCTGCTGGATCCCTCCAGACAGACCTTCCTGAGGCTGTTTGACAACGAATTTGTTAAATAAGGAAAAGGAACACACTCTAAAAACAGTGATACAAAATATAGTATAATAAATACATTAGCCAATGACAGTCATTTACTATCACGTATCATGTGCTGTATATAATTACATGTACTAGATTTTAGACCATGGCGGCACAGTGGGCGTATCGCCACAAACACATGCGTATAATGTTGCACTGTGACTATGACATCACTTGGGGACAGGGACTTTTTCAGCTCCATTGTGAGCTTAGGGGACCACTACTGTCTACAGTCTGTCATTGACCAACATGGTGTCATGTGTGGCACGTGGCTGCTTCATGATACTCATTGTACAAAAGCAACAAGAGAGGCTCAGAAGAGTTAAATAACTTGTCCCAGGTCACTGGGAGGTAGATCTGGGTTTCCAAACCACAGCTCTGTAACTCCAAGGCCCAGCTCTCAGCACCCGGCTGTAACTGCCCCACTTCAGAAATAAATAATTAAAATTTAGAAAGACACAATAAAGCAATGGTTATGTGAAAATCTATACTTACAAGGTAGATAAATTATTCACATCAGAACATTTTATTTACTTTGCAGACTCATTTACTCCAGGGTCACTTTAAATGGAAGTTCCCTTGATGCATTTAAAATATGATTTGATTTACAAATATTTGATTAGCACACAGAACTTCCCAAGCGCACATCTACTTCTGCAAAGGAGGCACAGATAGAACAAAAGGGGCCCGTGCTACCTCCAGTTTCTGCTGTGGAGACTTCCTTCTCCAGATCGGTGGCCTGCTCCCTCGGGGCTCTGAGGTCGCGGCGGGAATGGCGCCTCATCAGCCGGGCCGCCCCTGCCGGCTCCCTCACCCTGCAAGAGTCTCCTCCACAGCACGTGTCCCCACATGGCTAACCACATATTTAGTGCTTTTGTTGTCTCCCCAAGCAGAGTGTAAGCCCTGTGAGGTCAGGGGCATTGTCTATTTGATTCGCCGCTGTACCCCTGCGTGCAGACACTGTGCAGTTCATGCTGACGGAATAAAACGGTACGGCCACAGAAGACAGACTAGATCTGTGAGTAGAGGTTTTAGGAAAGCGAGAGGAAACCCAAAACAGGCTTTTCCAACCATCACTGCTGGGGTCGCTCCACACCGGAGCCTCCAGGCTGGCGGGCTCGCGGCGGGATTCCCGACCCTGGCAGTGGCCGGCGCCCGGGGGCGCTGGGGTCCCTCCTAACCCTGAGATGCAGACATCATTTGACTCTAAGCTGGAGAAACTTCCAGCTTGGTTCTTCTTAATGCAGTGAACTCTCTCACACCCAGAAGGTATCCTCAGTTTCTCTCCTTATCTTTTCATCCTTGACATCCCGTCCGCTGCCTCCAGAGTCTGCGCGCGACCCTCCAAGCTGCCGTTTTGGAAAGCGCTGCAGCGGTCCACAGGCGACCTCGCCTGACCCCACCGAGCCCTCACCAGCCAGCCGGCCGGCTGACCCTTTGTGAATCACAAATCCTAGCACTGAACTACCCGATTACACACCCCACTTGCTTCCGCTGCACTTGGATAAAATGCGGTCCCTGAGGTGGCCCCTGCCCCTCCCACCCCACTCTGCTGCCCTCCGCCTGTCACTCCTCTGCTCTGGCCACACTGACCTGCCTTCTGCTCACACCTGCCTGTGTGGGTCCATCTCTTCTTCCCTCTGACTAGACGCTCTGCTCAGATGTCCACATGGCTGCTGCTGGTGGCCTCTTGGTATTTGAATACCTGCTCAAATGTCACCTCCTTGAGGAAGATGTCCTTCCTGGTCACCATCTAGACTGGAATCTCCACTCTATTTCTCTAATCCTGCCTTCTTTCCTTTTCTTCTTGGCACTTAGGTCTACCTGAAGTTCTCTGCCTAACAGCAAGGTCCTTCCCTTCCTAGTTCACTGCTGTACTCCCAAGGGCTTCTCTCAGTGTCTGGCCCACAGCAGGTGCTCAGACACATGGACTGAATGAATGAGTGAATGAATGACCCCCCAAATCAGGGACCTAAGAGGAATCCAAAAGTTATTTCAAATATAACTAATTGACTATGAATAATTTTTCATTTGATTCCAGGACTTTCTCTTAGAAATGGAGACTCTGTCATTCTTGATGGTGTTAAATCAAATTTAGCTTAACACTGCCTCTTTAAATACTCTAAGCTCAGCCTAAAGGTTTCTCTGTTCATAGTGAACTATAACCTAAAAGGAGGTGTAAACCAATGGTAACCTACTTCTGTGTCAATCGCTGAGTTTTGGCCAATCAAAGGGGAGCAGCTGAGCTGTAACCAATCTGGCTGTTTCTGTTCCATTTTCTGTACATCACCTTTCACGTTCTGTCTATAAATCTTCTTCCATCACGGGGCTCTGCTGGAGACTCTGAACATACTCTGGCTCGGGAGGCTGATCCATTTATGAATCATTCTTTGCTCAATTAAACTGTTAAATTTAATTTGGTAAAGGTTTTTCTTTTAACAATGGTTTTAATATGCGGAGTCTGAATGAGAAGAGAAATGTTAAATAACCATCAGATTATATCCATGAGGTTTGTTCAGATGATGGAGTTTTTTCTCAAAAGCAAAACAAAACAAAATGAAAGCAAAACCCTTCTTTTATTTACCCCATGAGAGTTCTCAGCATGCACAGCCATCTGGATGGAAACTGCTGGAAAGGGTTTGTATGTGAAGGGTGTGTGTCTAAAGGACCGGAGATATGCGGGATTTAAAGGGAGGGCTTCTCAAAGTTGTGTTCTGGGGGCCTCCTCTTTCAGAATGACCTGAGAATGCCATAAAAATGACCTTTTCTGGGCCCCACCACTGCCACGAATCAGACCTCTGAGCAAGAACCCAGGGAAGTCTCCAATTCCCCAGCAGTTTCCCGGGTCATACTCTGTGGTCCTGCAAGTTTGAGAGCCCCACCTTAGAGAGATTTCCAGGAGAAAAGCAAGAGCAAAATGAACAAGGACGAGACCCAGAAGGTCAGTGAGGGAGGGGAGGGAGGATGGGGTTGCCTCTGGCAATGAGGTCAAGGCTGGCCCAGGGTGGAGGTGGGGAAGGTGGCTTCTGGCTGATGGGGATAAAAAGCCCTGCTCCATACCCTTCTCTCTGTCAGTGCAAAGGCTCTGCCCTTCCAGCCTGGATTCCATCACCCAGCATGGGCCGCTGCAAAAGCACACTCACTTTCTAGGTGGATGAATCTGGGAAGTGATCCAATTCAGTGCTCGAACTGACAGCTGTGGAAAAAATTCCCAGGACAGGGAGGCCACTGGGGCCCTGCCCTGGTCGGGACCGCAGCGGGTCAGTGGAAGGTGCTTAGGCTCAAGGAGGGGAGGAGGGGCAGGGGCGCCAAAGTCAAGCCTCACACTTTAGTCCAGGGCTACAGCATTGTAAGGGGCAGGGTGGGTGAGGAGTCTCCAGCCATGGGTCTTTCTGGAGCCTCAGTTTTCTCAAGGGCCAAATGGGGGTGATAATAATACCAACAAGTACGGAGCCCTTCTGTGCACCAGGCACTGTGCTGATGTAGCTTTAGGAGGCAGGTGCTGTTACCATTCCTATCTTACAGATGAGGAAGAAAAGATGTGATTTCACCACATGGTGAAGTCACACAACTGGTGAGCTGTGGAGCAGGGAGGCTGATGCAGCCGGTTAGTTTCCAGCAGCTCCAGTCTCGGCCTCTGTGCACACTCAGGCTGGAGTGCCAGGGGTGCTCTGTCTATGACCACGTGTGTGAGTCTCAGTGGCATCGGTACCAAGAGGCCTGAACAAGGACAAGAGGCTCAAGAACAAAGAGTAGGGGACAGTCAGGCCTTGGCTGGAATTCTCCATCACTTTCTAGCTGTGTGAACTTAACCCCTGAACTTTAGCTCCCTGATTGTAAAATGATTCTTGCCTTATAGGTGATGATCGATTGAGATAGAACATTAAAGGTCATAGTCCAGGATGTGATGCTGGTAAAATAAATGCTCTCCATTACAGTTTTGGAAAGAGAATATTCCTGGAAAGAGAATATTCCTGGAAAGAGTTTAGCTGCCCTCCTGTCGATGCCCTCCAGGCTGTCAATGTCCTGCTAAAACAAGGTTCTCCAGATGGGGCGAGTCCTGCACGTCACGCAGCAGGACCGCTTTCTCCCTTGATCTCGGCACCGTACTCCTATTAATGCAGCCCAAGGCAGAGGTTAAAGCATCTGCTCAGTTCACTTGGGAGCTTCTAGTTGAAGGAACACTATGACAAATACCATTTCAAACGAGTAACGTTTTTTAAATAAAGAGAATAATCAAGTGGAAATCTCTATTTTGTGATTCTTCGTCTCATAAATCAGGTTTGCCAAAAGGAGCGTCCCAGCTCCCCAGCATCTGAGACTATAAGTGACGCATTTACAAATTGCCTGCTGCTGTGGTCTGGACTGGACTGAAGGCCAGCGACCTGCCCCCAGGCCTCACTGGATTTCATGCAGTACTGGTACCAGGATGCGCATACTCTGTCTCAGTGGCTTGACGGACTCTCCATGTCAAAGAGCTGTGAAAGCCACTGGACATCTTACTAGCTTCAGATTTTGAATTTAGAGCAAAGATGGTGCCAGTGTAAGTGGCAGCTGCTTGTGCAGACGGCACCAAGAACCTTTTTCTCTGAACGGTGGGTGACTCTGGCACCAAGCAGGTAGAAGCCAATCAGCCTCAGGAATGTGGTGACGTGGTTTATAAGACAGTGGGGGTGAAGGAAGGTGAAAGCGTGGGGGCCAGGCTTGGGCAAGGCTGTGGACGAAGGGCAGTGGACTAAGCGAGGCAAACAGCACCAGATGAGCCTCCTGGGATCCCTCCAAACAGCCCGGGAGCCAGAAGAGGTGAAAGTCCCCAGGCCCCACTTCCTGCTCCAGCTGCCAAGAGAGGGAAGCAGCTCTCAACTTGAATGAGGGCAGAAATCAGGTTCATGTCCCAAGGCTGCTGTAAGCTCAGGCACCCAAGGCTTCAGACAGGTGTTCCAAATGGGCCTGAGGGTGACAAAGCCCATTCTTCAAAAGAGATCTGATTTTTTTCTCTTTTTTTCTTTTTCTTTTTTTTTTTTTTTTTGAGACAGAGTCTCACTCTGTCACCAGACGCCAGGCTGGAGTGCAGTGGCACAACCTGGGCTCACTGTAACCGCTGCCTCCTGGGTTCCAGCAATTCTCCTGCCTCAGCCTCCCGAGTAGCTGGGACCACAGGCGCACGCCACCACACCCAGCTAATTTTTTTTTTGGTATTTTTAGTAGAGACGGAGTTTCACCATGTTGGCCAGGATGGTCTTGATCTCTTGACCTCGTGATTCACCCGCCTCGGCCTCCCAAAGTGCTGGGATTACAGGCGTGAGCCACCGTGCCTGGCCGAGGTCTGAGTTTTTCATGAAATTTCACACTTTTCAAGACACTATATGGATGAGACAAAACCCATCTATGGGAACGCAGCAGGGAGACCATGTGGGATATACAAGACTTGGCTGGAAGAGAGAGCCCTCAGGGGTGGGCACCACCTTGGGCACGGAACAGGGAACCTCCACCCAGGTTGGGAATACGAAACTGCTGCCTCCCTCCCTACAATTGGGCCGGGGGACCCTACCTTCAGCTCCAGGTCAGTGTAAATCTGTGGCCTCAGCAGGCTGAGCAGGTAGGATGCACGGGAGAACTTAAACTCTGAAACCGAATCCGATGAAGACCGTCATCAGGGGTCAGCAGGGATGAAGACAGTCACCAGGGTCGCCAGGGATGAAGACAGTCACCAGGGTCGCCAGGGATGAAGACCGTCACCAGGGTCACCAGGGATGAAGACCATCACGTCACCAGGGTCACCAGGGATGAAGACAGTCACCAGGGTCACCGGGGATGAAGACCGTCACCAGGGTCACCACCCTCTGCTCCTCCATGCCGTATCAGAGCTCACCTGGGATGATCTCCTCAGTGACAGCTGCACCCCCGATCACATGGCGTGTCTCGAAGACAGCGGTGTTCACCCCCAGTCTCTGCAGGTACGCTGCCTGGGAAGAGGGGGTGGCACGCGGGGCCCTCCCTGTATCCCTCTGAAACGTTCAGGCTCCCTGGAGCTGACCCATAGGCTAAGGTCTTCACTCTAGGCCAGTGTGCACCACACCCCACCCATGGCCTCCCCACCTGCTCGTGCTGTTTCTGCCTCTGGGAATGCCCCTCCCTGTGCTTCTCCTTCCACTCTCGCCTTTCCTAGATGTCCTCTAAGACCCAACACACCTGTGTTCTGCCCCTCCACTTCCCAGCTGAAGGTGGTCTTCCCTCCTTAGCGGCCTGTGCCTTGGGGACTCACGTTGCTTCCTGCCACCCTGCCCTGGGATGTCCCTCTCCTCCAGGCAGAGAGCAAGCCTCATTTCTCCTACAGTCGCAGCATGGTGAGGTCAAACTTTTGTGAATGCTGACCCTTCCGCCCAGGTTCAGCCCTGGTTCGCTCTCTGCTACTGCAGCCTCAGTACCTGATCCACCTGGCTTCAGTTTGTTCATGTGCAAAAATGGGGCTAATGAAAATAGTCCTGACTTTACCCACTTCATAAAGCTGCTGGGAGGATGAACTGAGCTGGTCCTTAGACAGGACTTTAAGTTGTCCCTGGCATAGAGAATGTGCCCCATAAATGAAGCTGTTCATAGCAGAGCTTTATTTTGGGAGAACAAACGATGCAAGGATTTGTTTTTTTTTTTTTCCTAGCACTTAGTGGAAAAATCAATAAATATTTGTTGAACCAAACTGGTCATAAGTCTACCAATCCAACATGCTGGCCCTTCCACCACCACTGATGCCAGTGTGACCGCAGGAATGGTGTCATGAGAAAGACTTTTCAAAAAGCTCACTTGTACAAGGACACGTGCACACGAATGTTCATTGCAGCACTGTTTACAATAGCAAAGACCTGGAACCAACCCAAATGCCCAACGATGATAGACTGGATAGGGAAAATGTGGTACATATACACCATGGAATATTATGCAGCCATCAAAAACGATGAGTTCACGTCCTTTATAGGGACATGGATGAACCTGGAAACCATCATTCTCAGCAAACTGACACAAGAGCAGAAAATCAAACACCGTATATTCTCGCTCATAGGCAGGTGTTGAACAATGAGAACACATGGACACAGGGAGGGGAGCACTACACACTGGGGTCTGTTGGGGGGAAATGGGGGAGGGGCGGGGGGTGGGGAGGTGGGAAGAGATAGCACGGGGAGAAATGACAGATACAGGTGAGGGGACGGAAGGCAGCAAAGCACACTGCCATGTGTGTACCTATGCAACAATCTTGCATGTTCATCACATGTACCCCAAAACCTAAAATGCAATTAAAAAAAAAAAAAAGAAAAAAAAAAAAAAAAAAAAAAAAAAAAAAAAAAAAAAAAAAAAAAAAGCTCACTTGGTAACTATTATGTGCCAGAAATAGTGAATACATCGTCTTGTTTAATTTTTCCCACCAGCCAAGAGGTAGGTACTGATTCTCCCATTTTACAGATGAGAAAACAGAGGCTCAATGAGCGTAACAGCTTGCCTCAGGCTCACAGTGCTGATGAGTAGAGGTGTTGGGAAATGAAACCAGACAGCGTGAAACCAGCATCTATCCTCCTAACACATCCCACTGGGAAACAGCAGCCATCACTCAGTGGCTGAGGCCTGGCACGCAAGGTAAGCTGCATCATTCTCCTATGTCAGGGGAACGATCTCACAGATTGACAACCTCAAACAAGGTTTCTCTGAGACTATGATACAATGAGGCAAGCACAAACAATAGCAATGTCTCCGTCCCATTCAGAAAACACCGAACCCGTCTTGGCGGAAATGAGTGACTGCTGCTTCTTTATCAATAACTCCTCTCCTTACACTCGTCTTCCCTCCCTGCAGATCAGACTTGTTGAGCCGCCCAGTTGCAGGCTGTCCCTCCTTCCTGACAGTATCTAATCTATGGCAACCCCTATTTTCTCAAGCCTTCCCTTGAATCATCAACCAAAGCCCAAGTCCTGTGCTAGGTTCTTTCTAACATCTTCGTACTGAGGCATCCTGAGGTTCCCCTGATGCAGACTTCCCTCACTGCAAAGAGCGAGAAACCCAACTAGACTAACTACGAGTGTGTTCCTGGTGGGCTTTGGCAGAAGGGCATGGGCGCTAGCCTTCCTTGGGCTGGAAACTTCCAAAAATAACAGCCGCCATGTGTGCAAGGCTGCATGAGCCAGGTCCTAGCAGCAAGTGATCTATTACCTTCACAACAGCTCTGTGAGGGCAGGTGCAGTTTTCCCATTTTACCTTGACTCAGAGAGGCTAAGTGACTCACCTTAACCTTCACAAATACAAAGTGGCAGAGCTGGGAGATGAGTCTTTGTGTATATTAATATAAGATCAGGCTGGGCATGGTGGCTTACACCTGTAATCTCAGTACTTCGAGAGACTGAGGCAGGTGGGTCCTCTAAGGTCAGGAGTTCAAGACCAGCCTGGCCAACATGATGAAACCCTGTCTCTACTAAAAATAAAAAATTAGCTGGGTGTGGAGATGTGCGCCTGTAATCCCAGCTACTCAGGAGGCAGAAGCAGGAGAATTGCTTGAATCTAGAAAGCAGAAGCTGCAGTGAGCCAAGATCGTGCCATTGCACTCTAGCCTGGGTGATGAGCAAAACTCCATCTCAAAAAAATTTTTTTAAATAAAATAAAATAAATGTTTTAAATTACTGACCCATTGCAATACAAAATGAGCCATGTAAAATATTCAGGTAAAACTTACACATCAGGTAAATTTTAAGGTTTAACATCAGTCCATTAGCACATTCACATTGTTTCCCCCTGTATTGATATTCTAGAGCTGCCACTGCTTCAAGAAGCTGTTCCATGTTTGTTTTGTGACCTTGAATACCTTATGTGGCCTCCTGGAGGTACCTGGACTTAGGTTCGAGAAGCTTAGGCTAGGGATAGCTCTGGGCTACCCAGCTCGGGTTGGAATCTGGAAGTCAGTTGTGCTGGGGACGGGCGCTGGCCCTTCTGCTAGGCTGAGCGCCTCAATGTCTCCAGGGCACTCTTTGGCCACATAGTGGCTGTGTACTCCAGGGTGGTACGTGGCCTGGACCTGGCTGGGAGGACAGGGCTCTGGACACAAGGGCTGCCTGTGATCTGGAGTCAAGGGCCCCACCCTGCCCCAGGTACCCAGTCCCCTGGTTCCCACCTGCTCCCATGCTGTGTTGGTCACGTGCTTCTCCACCTTGTCAGCTTGCTTTTGGAAGCTCCCTGACTCCCTCACAGGTCATGGGGGAAACCACCTTTCCTCATTAGGGGAAGGAGAGGAAAGGAGCCTGTGATGTCCTCAACAGGCTGCAGATGCACATTCCACCCAGCCCCTGGTCAGCACTGGAGAGCAGAGCGTCAATTAGCCTGCCTCCTCCTTCTCTCTTGAGGCCCTTATCCCACCTGCTTCTTCGTACTCCCTCCCAGGCTGCTGAGAGCCACTCGCCCAGAGGCCAGTGAAGTGGGATCAAGTGGGGAGGTACTCACAGCCACCAGTCCGTTGTGTCCTGCAACAAGACAGGGGAGAGGGAAGGAAAGCATCACTGTTCAGCGGGTGGGCAGATGGACACAGTCCTTGAGGGGTGTGCTCACCGCTCCCCGTCCTCAAGCCCAGGAAGATCCTTGGTGGCTCCTCCCCTCCCCTTCCTGCTCTCAGATGTTGGAACAGCATGTAGCTCAACTCCATGAAATACCTGCTCTCCAAGGAGTCAGAAAACCCTGGTTCTTGCCCTGGCTGGATAAGTCCTGCTCGCCTGGCTTAGTCAGTGGCTCTGCTGGAGTGAAGGGCTAATGAGAGCATCGCCGGGGCTTCCATTGCTTGTGGGGTGCAGGTCTGAGGGAGCAGCATGGTTGACTTGGCAAGAAGGTGAAGCAATGGGTGGCTGGCATGCTGGTGTGCCAACGTCCCGTCTCACATGGCATCATTGGCATCTAGGGGAGTGCTGGTCATGTGGGTAGCTGCTATCAAGCATGGCTTGTTTTGCCCACATGTGGTTCACAATCAGCACAGTGGTCCCTAGAAGGCTTTATCCACATGGGTTTGTTTTTGCCAGTCCCCAGGGTTCCAAAAATAAAATATGAACGGTCCCACCCACATGCAGTAAACATAGACAGCTTCAACATGTGCTGGAGTGACTAACTGTGCTTTAGGGCACCTTGGGCTGAGAGCCCTGAACTTGGCTTTGGTATCTTATGTTCCACACCAAGCCCACGGGTAGTGAGTGCCTCTCCAGCCCTGATGAGCTCAGAATCACCTGGGAGGTTGTATAAACGTCAATTCCCAGACCCCTCCCCAGGAGTCTATTCAGCAGGTGTTTCACAGAATTAAAAGTTTCATGAGCTAAAATTAACTCTTACCATGTGAGAAGCTAGTTGGTTATAGTTCATCTTAAAAAGTGCTGCTTGGATGTACTTTTTATCTGCATGGGCTTTTGAAATGTTCATAAGGAAGTTTAAACAATCTGCCGGTTGGGACTCATGAACAGATGGAATCTGAGTTTGAAAACCCCCGTCTCTCAAAGACACATGCAACAGACTAAAGGCAGGTCCTGGGCTCGGCTCAGCCTCTGCTATTTACCAGGGCGTGGTGTCAGAGAGTTGTCAGCTGCCCTGAGCCTTGAGCTTCTTCACATGGGAAACAGAGGGTGCCAGGGACCCTGCAGTGTGGCAGGGATGAGATAAACAGGAGCTATTTGTCTTTTAATTGGTGCTGATGATCAGTCTTGGAAAAACTCAAAGTTTTCCAGGCAACTGGGTCCAGTTCAATCACAGCAGACCTCAAATGACTAAGGCCAAGAATCCAAAGCACAAGACCCCCTCCCGGTACCCACCCCCAGGCTCCAGCTGAGCCCTCTTTGGCTTCTGCTGATGCTGCTGTTCCCTTGAAGAGGACTTCAAGCTATGGGCTCCGTGAATCCCAGGCCTGCCTTGGAGACCCACAGCAGGTGCTTGGCCCTGAGGAGCTGCTCTGGGCATGGGCTCTTAGCTGCCTGCATCAGGCAGTGTTGGCTGGAGTCACCGCCTGCCCTCAGAATGCTCATCACCAGGTACGGGGCCAGAAATCTCAATTTTAACAAGCTCCTCAGTCATTCTCAGACACATTTAGTCAAATGACTAAGTCAGAGTCATCTTCAAGGTGGCTGCCAGGTGCCAGTGTGACTTGAGGGACTCAGGAGTAACCCTTGTCACAGAAGATGCCACTCTGTTCCTCACTCAGGCCCAAGATGCCTTTAAACCAGGCTTCATGGTGTGTTTAGCAACTAAAGAAATCATTTCAAGGAAAAGCTCACACGCTGAGACTCACTCACACTTGTAGGCAAGTCACCAAGGCAGCTGGCGACCTAGAGTCAACCTTCCCCATTAGGAGACAGCGGTGGGAGCTGTGGCCGAGCACGGAAGGGGGCAGCGGGGCTTCTCTGAGGCTAAGCGAGGTGCCGGAGATGGCTTCCACCAGCCCAGGAAGTTTGTGAGCTGGCTGTCAAACAGCCATTGTTACAAAGGAAATTATGTAAGCTTACAATTAAATAAATTATATTAAAAACAAAGGCAATAAATACTCAAAATGCACTACCTCCTATTTGTTTTACTCCATTTGACTGTTAGCACGCCCTCGCAGTCACTGGCTTCTATGTATGTATCTGCATGGCAGACATACTATGCAATGAGGTGCTACTGGGTATCTCTCCCAAATCACATCCAACAACCTCATCTTGGTGACAAAAAAGGCTATGGTGGGAGTATTTACACCACCGTCAACAGCAAATATTACACAACGGGGCTGTGCTTACTGTTCTGTGGTCAGGCTTAAGGAAGCAACGGGAAAATAGTAATAATGCAGATTATACCTAACAGCGTTAGCTGCTACAACATACACAAATAGGAAAAAAGTGAAGAACATATTCTAGTGTTAGAAAAACGTTATCTTATTTGAGTAACGTAATTCCTGTCATTTAAAGGAGTAAAGCTGGGACATAATCTTTGCTGTTTCACTTGTTTCATGCTCGTCCTACCATTCTCTTTGGAGCTACCTTCATTTGTCAACTGCAACTATAGGCTGGCTACTGAGTTTGGCAAAAATCAAAGAAAGTCTTCAGTAAGAATCAGTTGGCTACACTGCATTTAAATTGAGAGTATTGCATTTTTATTTGTAAAATTGTGTGTAACATATCTATTTCAATATTTAAAATGTATGTATGCATCACACATATATATGTATACATGTATACATGCATATATACACATGATATGTAGATATGTACATACATATACACACATATACACACGTCACACATTTTCCCTGGAGAGGTGACCTTTGAGTATCTACCAGCTCACACTGCTCTTGAACATACGAAAGTGAAGTCTTGCCCACGAAACCGCGTGAAGAGTGCTGTCCGCTTCCAGTCCCATCACTAGCTCTGTACAGACCTAGTTGGCAATCACAAATCTGGGGCCCCCTGTAAGTGTGACTGGAAGGCACTAGGGAAAGGCCACCTGGTCCTGGGCCTGCCTCTCCCCCCAGCACCCAGTAGACTTTGATACTCTGAGCCCAGGGATTGGCAAAGTGTGGCAGGATCACCGCAGACCCCCAAATGTCCCAGAAGTGCAAGGCAGTGGGGGCCAGCTCCCTCTGTAGACATGCAGTAGGAACTCTGGGACTCAGTTCCATTTTATCCTAACTGGCCTTTATGAAATGACTGCAGTTTCTTTTGAGGACGGGAGGCCTCAGTGGTAAGGTAGTGAGAACAGAACTCAGGGCACTGAGGGTGGCTGGATTTCACTGTTTGTCTGGGAGGCCTCAGTGGTAAGGTAGTGTGACCAGAACTCAGCACTGGAGGTGGATGGATTTCACTTGTCTGCTGTCCCAGGGTGCTTTCCAACCCAGACAAACCATAGGCTTTCTGCGAATGTGGTAGAAACTAGGTCATTTTGCAGGAGATACAGGGAAAACCCTGAGCTCACCTAGGCTTTGTCATTCCTCATGGGAAGATCCAAGCCCAGAGAAGGCAAGCATTTATCCCAGGCCACACAGCGGAGCCAGCACCGGAATCCCAGGTGCTTGCCTGCCAGATGGAAGAGCTTTCCATTGCAGCCTCCGCTATCACATAAGCTTCTGGCTGGGTTATGCCCGAGGAGAGAGCAGTGGGGCTTGGCAGACCCTCCGCCTCCCCACCAGGCTCTGAGCAGGACTGCCTCTCCACCCCTCAGCTCTAGCCCAGCCTGCTTTACCGCTTTACCTGCTCCTATCACCACCGCATCATACTCAGGCTTTAGCCCTCCCCGGGCTTCCGAGTGAGCTCGTCTCCAAGCGGGGAAGGGAGAGGCTGCCACAGCCTTGCAGAGTCCTCGGCCACTTGCAGCCATTTCTGCCCCCGGCTGGGCCTTGCTAGGCAGGGAGTTTGCTAGCGATTGGCCTTTGCACTGCCCTAGGCCGGGGGTGGGGCAGGGAGGAAGCAGGAAGAGGAGGAGCTGCAGCCGCCACCGCCCTCCGCCCCCCATCCCCGACTCCCGCATTCTTGGCCATGGGCCAGCCTCCTGCTGCTGTGTGGCTGTGCTGGGCCTTCCAGGAGGAGTTGCCTGTTAACCAGGCTGGGTCACCTCCAGGACGCAGGAGAGTAATGACAACTGATCATCCACTGGGGTTCCCACGTCAGGCTGGCACTGGGCTGAACCCCGCAGGCGAAACTCTCCATTTTACGGATGAGGGTGCTGAGGCTGCGGGGTTAGGGAGTGAGTGGCAGAGCCAGAGCCAGAGTAGAGCCTCACAGGCCCTCTCCTCCCCTGTGCGCCTCACTTCTCAGTGAGAACTGAAGTGCCTGCGATGGGAAGTGCTCTGGTCAGTCTCTGCTCTGACTCCAGGCAGTCTGACAGTGCAGAGTGGTGATGCCTCTACACCCACAGGAGGGCCTAGGTCACCACACCGGGGCCTTCAGACACTGCAGAGGCTGCCGTATCTGTCGCGGAGAAGCGCTAGCACTTGAACACATCCCTCGGCGGGCTGCTGCAGAACCTCGCCAGGGCTTGGGGGCAAGTTCACTGTCCTTAAGTCTCTGGGTTTGCTTTTTTCTTTGGGGGGCCTGGCCATTTCTCTTCTTTTGGCACCTTACCTATTTTCCAAGAATCCTCAAGGATTAGCGATCACATCTGTAAATACCTCCAGCTACAGTTCTTTCTGACCCTCCCTTAGGCCTGCCTTGAATTAGGAGCCCCTTTGCTGTCTGCCCATTACTCAGCAGACCATTCCCCGAGGAGGGAAAGCCCCTCAGCATGGAGAGTCCCTTCGCTGATCTGACATTGCGTGTGACGGAAACCTGCTATGGGTAATGAATCTCAGAACTGGGGGAGTATGTGGATATGATCTAAGAGGGGGTCTGAGGACCCCTACACACTCGTGGACAGTCAACCCGCATGGGGGCATCTCTGCTAAGATCTGATTCAGGATCTCCACCCCCATGTTACTGATTATAAAAAAGATCAAGGGGACTGGTTAAACCAGACATATACCACATCAAGCCACTGCTAAAAACGAAGGAAAAATAGTAGGTGACAAAAGCAGGGGTTCTGAACGGTGGTGGGCTTACAGGCTTAGGGTTTTTTCCTTTATGTTTCTCTGTTTTCCACAATCCATGTGTTTCATTTCCATCCATCAGATGATGATGTTAGGGAGGAACACAGATTCAGTCACCTCAGGGGACACGTCCTCACTGCCACCTTCTCAGGGTTTGGCCCAATGAGTGGTTTGAGCTCCCCCAGTGCCTCCCCAAGGCTGTTCCCTGCAAGGGAGAGACCAGTCTGCACGAATTTTGGCTCAAGACTGAAATTACAGAAGGTGTGGCTCCGGCAGGCACAGCACGCGGGCATCTGCTCCTGAGCTGCGCTGGACGCTGACTTCTGCCACGCCGCCCTTTCTGGACCAGCCCCAGCCTCCTGGCCTCAGAGGAGCAAATGCTCCTAGTCCTAGGGCTCTGAGGGTCTCTTGTCCTTGAGTTCATTCTGGGACAGGAGCTTCTCGGTTGGAAGAGAGGGGTTGTACCCCTCGAGTGTTGGTTCTCAATCCAGGGCACACCGCGGAAGCTTTGACAAACATCAGAGCCTGGGCTCCACAGCCACCAAGCGAGTCCAATCTCTGGGCCAGGGCCAGGAGCTTGAGAACCCCAGCCCTAGGGCAGACCTAGCCGAGCGTGAAGGGGCTGGGACTTAGCAAGCGCTTATCGGCACGAACAGAAGGGTCTAGAAGCACAAGCGTGTTGGGCATCAGTGATAACAATGACCAGCATTTATTGAGCACCTACCACATGGGGTAATCCTCACATCACCCTGAGCGGGAGGTGCCATTGCTCTAAATGTGAGGAGTAGAAGAAACTTGCCAGGAGGTGCAAAGGAAGTGGCAGGGTCAGAATTCAAACCCAGTCAAAGGAGCACCTTTTACCTGGGGTAGGAGATACAGCCTGCCGGGTGGGCTGTCTCCACTGCACTCAGGGAACAGCAGAGATAGGGGCTCCCTCCCATCTCCCAGGATAAAGGCAGAGGAGGCTCTGGAAGAGGAACTGCTGCCGCTGTTGTTTTACAAAGACCAACAGAACCCCTGGCTTCCGTCTTCCTAAAGAGAGAAAGATCTGGGGCCTTGCTCAGTACCCCACATGGAGGGTGGCCTAGGCAGGGTTTTAGAAACCCTGGGGCTACCCTGGGCACTCTGCCCCATCCTCAGGATGGCCACTGCAGACAGGAGGCTCTTGCCATGGGGAACGGTAGCAAGCAAGGGCGGCTGGAGGACACGGTGCAAGGGCAGACTGCAGCCACCCTGACCTAGAGCAGGGGGATACGGGAGGCCTCCCAGAGGCGCCGGGCCAGCTGGCTGGCCTGCTGCAGCAGCAGGTCGGTGGGGATGATCGACAGGTGCAGGGCCAACAGCTCATAGCATTTCACAGTCTCGGCCGGGCGGCTCTTGCTGTAGTAGCGCAGGAGCTTCCTGTGGAGGAAAGGGAGGATGGGATTCAGGAGCGAGGCTGTGGCGTTCCCAGCACCAGAGGCCTCTCCTGGCCTTTGTGAGCCAATGCCCATGGCCTTGGTCATCTCACTAGGCCCCTGCACATGGGCCTTGACACCCGCTCTTGCTCCTCACTGACCTAACGGTGGTATTCTGGCTACGAAGCCTCAGCAGGGATGTTCTGGGCCCCACCCAGACGTTCCCTGTGCTGCCAAGACCATGCCGGCAGGAATGAGGCGGAAACACAGATGTGCCCTGCATACCCATCCTCCCTCACTGTACACAGGGCCAGCTGGGAAGGTGTTCCCAGCATGGATTTCTGGGTCCAGGGTAGGGCACTGCTGAAGCAGAAGCTGCTCCCGGCAGGGGTGGGCACTTAGCACCCACATGGGGCATCTGTCCCCAGCAGCTCCCAACGCGGTGGCGTCACCTGTAGTAGTCTCCTCCCAGCATGCCAATAGGCACCGAGTCGTCGGAGAGGACGGGCACCTCGATCATCTGGAGTTTGTACCCCTGAGGAGGGAAGACAGGGAAGTGGTGGGTATTGGAGGCGCACAGCCTGAGTCAGACGCACAGGCCTGCATCTGGCTTGGCCCTGCCATGTGTGCTCGGTGCTTGAGAAAATGCCTGGACCTTGTTTTTTTCATCTGTGAAGTGGGAGTAACAACAGTCACCTTACAAACATTAGAGACAACGTGTATAAAGTTTCAAGGCCCCAGCAGGGTGGCTCTCATTACCATCAATACCTGGACCTGTGCAGGCCACGAGCACACGCTCAGGAGGGCAACCCGCAGGGCTGTCACGCAGGGTCTTGAAGAGCAAAGTGCTCACAAAAGGCCCAAGCCTCTGCGGCGAAAGAACTGGGAATTCCCAGGGTCGGATAAAATGGGGATGAGAATTAAGATCTGCTGGACTGGATGTGCCCTGGGTACCAGGCGCTTAGCTGATGCTTGTGTGGGCACCCTGAGGCCTGCCTGCAGGGAGAGTGGACTCCACAGCACGAAGGGCTGCCCCCATGCCACCGGCTGGGCTGTGTGGTTGGTGTTCAAACCCGGCCTCCCCGGCTGACAGCTCTGCCTCACTGTATCAGCTGGTGGGGCCACCCAAGCGCACAGACTCCTGTCTCTCCCTAGAAGCACAGGTAGAGGTCACTGGAATTTTCTAGCACTTCCGTTGTGCACACTTCTAAAGGCACAGAGGAAAGCTGGGAGCCTGCAGGCTTGGGGAGTGGAGCTTGGGCTCCGCCTTTCTCAAAATATAGTCCCGGTGGCCCTGGCCATGCGTCTGGTCTCCAGATCATCGTGTCTCCATCTGTACATTGGGGTCAGGGATCCCTGCCCCAGCCACTGCACACAGCTGTGAGGGGTGACTAAGAGAACAGCAGTGGAGGGCCCTGGTAACCGCCCTGCGCCATGGAAAGGGGTGGCTGTCATCCTCAGTGAACAATGACAGTGCAGGGTGGGTGCCCAGGAAGGCACAGGAGTGCAGGGTCTCAGAGACCAAGGCTGCGAGGGAGGAGGAAGGCTCCCTGAGAGTGGGAACAACCACTCATGGTGACAAATGAGATGCAAACAACAGAGAAACAGAAGGAAAGCAAAGAAAGGGAAGAGACAGAGAGAAGGAGAGAGAGGCAGGAGGAGATGAGAGGGGCAGGTGGCCCCAGACAGTAGTTCCTCTGGCCAGAGCCTACCCTGCAGGAACAGTGAGACCCAGAGACAGCAGTGCGGGGCCAGGAGGCCAGGGCCCCAAGCCACACTGCCAGCGCCTTCTCGGGTGGCCGGGCTCACTGCTTCAAGCAAGGTCCTATGCTACAGGGATGACTGTATGCCACGCTTAGCATGTGACGCTGGCGATGTGGAAGCACTAGCGATGAAGTGTGTGGTCTGAGTCACCTTTCCCACCGTGGGGCGTGTGTCTGTCTGCTCACGTGTGTGCCGGGACCCCGAGTGGACAATGGCGGGAGTTTGCCAGACAGCTGGGCGGAGGGATCACAGTTAAATGCCCAAGTGAAAAGGTGACCTCTGAGCTCTAGGTCCCAACCTGCTGGGCTTACCAGGGACAAGAAGAGGAGATAGACAACACAATCAGAAGAGAGGGATCCAAGAGTTACAGCGTGGGAAGTGTGTGCGGACTGTCCCGGCCCAGGGACTTGGCCTCACCTACCATGTCATTCTCGAACCACAGGAAGTAGGAGCAGTAGAAATCTCCCTCCTGGAACAGCAGCGTGGTGTAGCCCTTCTGCAGGTATCTGCGTGCCAGCTGGATCAGAGACCAGACCTGGGGAAGAGAGGGGAGCGAGCATCATCACTCTCCCGGCCTCGGTCGTCCTGGGCAGCTCTCGCCTCCGGAGGGAGGAAAGTGTGCAGTCGACAAGCCCGTGAGTTAACAGGGGCCTCGCCTAGTAACTGGGCGCTGCCTCGGCTCAGAACAGGAGACTCAGCAATAAATCATTATTGGATGGA